CTCCGTAAGGCGCATTTGCAGCAGGATGGCTTCACCACAACAACGGTGTGCCCACAAGCCATGCTCCTTCTTATAGCCCAGCCAAGCCTTGAGCCCAAAACGAGTGGGAAGAAGCTTCTGGAAATGTGGGGACATCGGTGCTGGTGCTGGGGTTCACATCCTCACCGGGGCGGCGAGTGCTGGGATCGCCCGGTTTTCTTGGCTGTGGGTGGAGGTGCCTGCTGATCCAGGGAGACATCTCCCTGTGAATCATGGATTTCCTTGGAAAAAGACCTGCCCAGGGGAGGCGAGGCAGCCAGCTGCTTAGGTTGACGGTTTCGGGGCTTGGAACCGAAAGAATATCAGTTGGCCACAATCAGGGAGTAATAGCTGGTTGTGAGTGAATGGAAAGAGCACTTGCTAAGAAGTGCCACAGCTGGTGCCACGCTGGTGTTTTACAAGCAGTGGCATTTGCCAAATCCATGGGAAGAAAATGACTTGATCCTGAAACTTCAGTGCACCAAATCAGTTCACCGCAGGGGTATCCCTGGGGACAGGACCAGAGTCCAGAAGCCAGTGGGGTGTGCATTCAGCTTTCAGCACACATTTCCCTAAGGCCAGCTCAGAGGCGAGGGCTCCAAAAAAATGCGTGTTTTAACTTGGAAAATGCTGTGTCCAGTCCCAGCCAGCACGGTGGGGGTCACAGGGCTGGAGTCACCCCGTTGGACTGCAGGAACCGCAGGGACTGCTGCAGGTCTTCAGCCCTGACCTCTAGCAGTTGCCTCTGCAGATGAGATTGGTTCTTTGCTCTGTATCTTCTAGTCCATTTTTCATTATACCTCCCAGTTATTTCCTTTCAGATTTTAGTGCTGTTGCACCTTTGTCAGCTGGAAACAGGGTGAAGGCTTCAGTAGTCATTGACACAAGTGAGTGGGCATGAGCACTTCAAGTTACACCAGAAAGGGTTTTCCTGATCCCCTTGGCCCTGCAGATCCACACAAGGCATTTGCCCTCTGAAGGGTGCTCAGATATTCATTCAGTAGTGTTATTATACAAGAAACACCGAAACACTGCACAGGAAAACAGAAAGTTAGCTTTTTCTTTTTTTCCAGTTATATGCCTTATGTCAAGTTCGGACCAACAAAATATCCTTCAGGTAGGAGAAATCTGTGATTTGAGCCCAGATTTTACAACCCAGCACCTTTTGCAAATGAATCTCGTAATAGAAGTTGTAAATCAGGCACTGGAAGCCAGACATTTGGTATCCTGACTCCAGCTGTTACCAGCAGACGTTTTAAGAAAAGCACCAGGGCAGGTCACACCTACATCCATAAAGTAAGTTTTTTGATCCGTGTTCCTCTAAAAGCTCCTAGAAAACAGCACTGTATGGCTTGAAACCTTCAAATTTGATGAAGATTGGTGGGCTTTCCCTGTGTGAATTTGTGAAGTCTCCTTTTTTTTAAAATATTTGTTCATACTTTAGGCATCTGCAGCTTCCTGTGCATTTAATTGTGCCCTGTGTAAGATTTTTTCTTCCTTGCTGCTAAGTTCATTGGATGCCCCTTCATTCTGTGTTGGGAGGAGCAGTGAATAATTATCAGCCTCACTAAACTCTAAGTAAAGTTACAAGGATTGCCAGTGAAGCCAGAGAGGATCTCAGAGTCCCAAAAGGATGAACTCTGCATATTTTTTTTTTATTGTAGACAGAGATACTTTTATCTCATGTGTAAGATTTTAATCTAACGTTTTATCTCAAGCTGTTTTGAAAATCTTCTTCCTAACAGATAATCCTTTGTCTGGAGTGGCATAAAAGGGCAAATGTGTAGTAGCAGCTACTTGACTGCATGGTGGCCGTCCAAGAAAAATATTTGTGCAAGTCTTGCTGAGTCAGGGTATGCTTCCAAACGGGCAGCGTGTCCCTTCCATTGACAGGATCTATCTCAGGCGAAGCAAAATGCGATACTCCGCTGCCCGGCGTGCTCGAGGGAAAGAGTGCACCTCCCCTGTGAAAGAGGCAGCCACCCTCTACAAGCATCGTGGTGTCATCTCCGCATGTGGCACATCACGCAGCAAAAGGGGTTGGCCAAAAAACGTTATTGTTTTGTCTAGACAGGTGCCACCTGGTGCCGGCCAGTATTTCTCAATTTTTCACATCCTAGATTAAGGAGAGGAGAGATCATTAGCATGCTTTGCTGGTGACTTGAAGGTCTCACATGCAAGACATGCCGACACCAAGTCATCATGTCCCTTCCCCTGCCAGTCCACGAGGGCTGGACTGCGGCGTGCTACCAGCACCAAGCTATAAATCAGGCCAGTTTCTCTTGAAATGGAGCCCAGCGACAGCCCGGCAGCTCGCGGATCCTCTTAGCAAACCTCATCAGAGCGAGTCACGACACCCAAACGCAAGTGGCTCCGCATTGCTGGAGGTGTTGTTCTGAACATTTCGTACAGTCCTCACCAGCAGCTCTTTCTAAGCTCCAAGGAGACTCGCAGCCACACCACCACGTCGGGTACCTGCCTGGGGTGGGGGGAGCACCCATCTGAGCAGGGGCCATGCAGCCAACATCCCTTCATCACCGCAGGCGTCATGGAAACATGCACCTCGTTTGGTGATGCTGCACCAGTGCCCCAAGCGTTGGGAGGAGAGGAAGGGAGAGAGGGAGCAGGGCTCTCCTCCTCCTTTCCTTGAGGAGAACACCAACTGTGGGGAGTCTGGGGTCTTGGAACACCTTGGGAGGGGGGGCTCACTGTGCTCCAGAGCAGGAGGAATGGTAGCAAAGGGGCTGGGAGCAAATCCCAGCCAAGACTGAGTGAAGGCAGCCCAGGAGCGAGCACGCCTGGTATTGCATCCCTTGGGGAAACGGCATGCTCCTCCGGCGAAGAACGCCCCATTCCCTGCTGCCCTTTCCAGGCAGAGATCCTGTGTCATCCCGCCTGCTCCCAGCCAGCCACGGGAAGCTCCTCGCCTTCCCCGTCACCGAAGCCTGCCCGTCCACCAGTGTCACCGCTACCAAGTTAGCACCGCTCTAAATAAGAAGTTAAATTTAGCGCAGCATGAGCTCACCGTCCGGGAGAGTGAATGACCCCCATTCATTCATCCGGCTCTCCTCGTTTCTGCACAGATCCCCTCTTCCATTAAGCTGTTTGTTTACATTAAAGTTCGCTAGCCTATATAAACTCCTGAGCTGTACCTTCTCTTTTACAGAAGAGCCGTAGGGGAGGGCAGATAAACACACACGTACCTCAACGTGTTCACTCATGCCCAGTCGAAACACACCGTGTGGTTATCTCAGAGTCAAAGTAAACACATCAGCCTGTAAATGGCATGAGATTTAAAGCACCCCAGCCGACAGAATAAAATATTTACTTAAATAAACGTAATCGATTAATTAATTGATTGCATGTTAGTCCAAACCTGTCACAAGACCTCCTGTCTATCAGTTGGTGATGAACCTCTTACTTAATTAATCCTAAATTTGCAGGACGGTAGAAGATGCTGTGCAAGCACAGAAGTTCATCAGTGGCATAAAGCTCAACCTTGACTTCAGAAGGGTACCTTCTACCCTGAGGAAAGTTGTAGGTACTGGATTTTAAGGGCAGCTTCGAGCTCCTCAGGTATTATCCTCCCTACAGTTAGAGCTGGCCACTGTACTGGCAGCATAGAGACCTGCCTCCAGGGAATGCTTTTGGCTACATACAGAAAGACCGTATAAAAAAAGTGACTTGCTAAAGATTTTCTAGTAAATGAGTCCATATTTTCTCTCCCAAGGTTGAGAAACTTGAAAAACACCCATGACATTATTACAGCAGGTTCAATGTCTTTGGTGGAGTTGGTAAATTGACAGGATTTTTCTTTTTTTCTTTCTTATGCTGATAAGAAAAATATCCTAGTCCTGCGTTTGAGAAATACTGGCAGCCTCTGATGTCTTTATGAAATATGAAAAGCAGTTTCACATTTACTTCAGTGCTCCACACCAGCAGCAGAGAGGGGCAGCAACTCCCACGTCACCACGATGTCAGAGACTTCGGGCTTTTAGTCTAGGCTAAAAAAAAACACATTTCCAATGATTCAAAAACCACTTGGTTTTGTGATGAGAAATAAGGGTCCCACTCCTTGCACCTTGAAAAAACTTGGCATGTAAAAGCCACCTCTTTTCATATGATTCACTTTGATTGAAAGAACAAAAAAGTAACTCTTTTCCTAGTTCATTATTAACCTTCCCAGCAAAGATAATATTTACAAAACACTTATTTTTTTCTAAGATTTCAAGCAAGACTATTTGCAGAAAACATTTTGCATTGTATTTGGACAAAAAGGGAAAAAAAGAAAGAATGTACTTTTGGCTACTGCCTGGCTAATTGTAGTCAGGAAGTTTGATTTTGCTCCCCTGTTCTGATTGTCAAATATTTGCCATGAATTTTAAAATAGCTAAAATCCCCATGGACTTACTGAATGGGTTCACGTTCAAGAATCACATGCAGAAAAAGGAGTTGCGACTTTTCAGGTAAACCCATCAGTGACAAACCGTACTCCACTGTGTTGTACAGACAGCAAGCTCAATTCTCTTTTGATTTTGTACCACACTAGAATTCTCAGCACATCTAGGTGTGAGATGTGAATCCAGGCACAAATCCCAGCAGATATCGGAAGGGAGACAGACAGGGACCCGTCATGCTGAGAGCCCAGTGCTCTCCTGCTCTGACCTGGAGGCTCTCCTGAAAAACAGCCTCCTCCAGAGCAACCCAACCAGCTTCCTCACTTGAAGCTTCTCTGTCAGTCTACAGTCTCTTAATATATCCCTACAGCACCCAGTATGACCCACTGGAACAACATCCTTTTGAGCACACATAATAGGCTGATTTACAACTGCAATTGCCTGCCGTATTACCATCGTGATATTAAAGCTGCAATAAAGCTTGTTTCAGACACAAATCTACTGCTGGAGGAGGAAGAGAACAGGGAGATCGGAATTAGTACTATCCTTTTCTGGTATCTCTTTATTTTATAAAATATTGCACACATGAGTTACACAGGTTGGGGTAATGAGAAATGTACATCTCTACTTGGGATGTCTTTAAAACCATCATTTCTGAAATGTAGAACAAACACAGAATAGTAATTATTATATACCCTTGGAGAAATGAGACCAGACAGCTGAGTTTAGTCCACAAAGTGTTTGAGAGGTAACTCCTCTAAACCAAATTTAACCACGTTGCAGGCAGTGTCTAAGCCAGTACGGAATTTATGCTTTTAACATGCAGTTTAAATACAAGTGTTAAATAGAGTGACAGGAACATGAGAGGATTTCTGTGGTGTTTGGTTGATCAGATTGTTGAAGTATGTCATCCAGGATAAAGCTGGACACGTGCTGCAAATGCTCTAGGCAAGGCACTTGCAGCAGGAATGGGTACATCAAATGTGCTGCAAATCCCCTTCTTCTCCTCAGGGTTCTCATCCAGTGCCACTGACAGCCATCAGTGGGAATGGGAACCGAAGCATCAAAAATGTTCATTTTTGGTTCATCTTCTTTCTCTGCATGAATTACAAATCCAAACTTGAGACTGAAAAATATTTCTGTTTCATTTTTGAGTAAAAAATTTTCCTTTCTCTTCTAATCTCTCACAATCTCCTTGTATACTCCCATTCAAAATACTTTGGGTTATGTGATAGTTTTACAGAAAAGTCTAGAAGCCTCTAGAGTAGCACACCACATAACATACACTGAAGAAAGCAGAAGCCTCAAACAAAAGGAGGAGAAGAGAAAGCTGTGAAAGAAGGCAAACAGTGAAAGCAATTCAACCTCCACCTTTTAGCAAGCTGAAAAGTGTGCAACAGGAGGAAATTCCCAGGGTAAAATCCAGCTACAAACCAAGGTCTGTCTACCATCTAATCCTCAAAGGACATCACTGTTTAGGTGCTAAGCCTTCCTGCTGAATTGCATCGCAAAAGAGATTATCATCCTTGGAGAGCACACTGCAGAGCCTCTCTGGAGTCGATCTTGAAATGATCTTTCCTCTTACAAGGCAGGAGGCGTTTTCCATCCTGACCTGCAGTCACTCACTACCACATATTTCAATGCATGCTTCTAAGGCAAAGGCTGGAATGCTGGACAAAGGAAAACCAAATTTTCCACTCTTTCATAACTGCAGGCCCATGTTGACCTGGACACGGGGTCGGTGAGAGAAGGATTTGGGCTGCAAAAGTGCAATGGAAAGGGCTACTCTTCTGAGTTTGTGGGATCCCCTCTTTCACAAAGAAAGGGAGAGAACATCCTTCATAGCACGTGACATTACAGGCATCTAACTTCATCCCACATGAAAACAAGAAGAAAATCATGATCGTGGTTTCAAAGCAGCCTGGCTGGGGGAAATGGAAAGTGAGCGATTGAAGCCAGCTCTGGGATCCTAGAAGGCAGAAAGGCAGCCTGTCCTTTGGACTGTAAATGGATGTGTTCGTCACATTAGCATGTGAGGCAAGTTTTACAACCCATCCTTGCATCCTTTTCCTGTTGTAAGATACATTCCAGATTATGAGGATGTGCTGGGTGCCCAGACCCACACCGCTACCCACATACGAGGTCTGACCCTGCCCTCTCTAAAGAGAGTGACAAGACTCCTGCTGCCACCAGCACTGCAAGGTTCTTAATTGGCACCCTCCCTTAACGGAGATGGAGCACCCGCTGGGGGTGCAGCTCATTCCCCCATCCCTCCAGACTCTCCTCCTCACCCCTGCCACCGCAGAGCAGGGCAGATAGCCAGGTAGCTGACAAAACCCAACAGGATGTAGTGCTGAGAACTGTAAGGTGGCCATAATGTGGTTAACAAGAGACACGGAAGTCTCTCCGGCAATTATTTTATTTAAATTGAGGGGCTTGGGGTTCTCAGAGGGTAGGAGAGGTTAGCACCCAGACCTCAGTGAACTGTTGTGTCATAGCAGCATGATGGCAGGACTGCTAAATGAGCGAGACAGCACGGGTCATTGGGTGCTCACTGGGCTCACCCAAAGCATTTTTAACATTTCAATGTTTTGCAGCCCAAGCAGAGCTTTCTCCCCACTGTTTTGGATAGTTGCAAGCTCTTTGCTTCAAGTGAAATTGACACCAGTGGTCTCAAAACACTAAACTACACTCTTGTGGCCACAACTAGAATGAACTATGGTTATTTTAAAAAAGAAAAAAAGAAAATGAAGTTATAAAGTAGCAGAGATTAGATCATATTACAGGAAAACAGCAGAGGAAGGCACTTGCTTTCCAGTTTTGATCTTCATAACAGTTGGCACAGCTTTTCAAGCTTACCTTTCAGAAACCAAAGCTGGTTTCTGAACAAACTTACAGATGGCTGCTCTCCACTGCTGCTACTTGGATAGACTCAACCAGCGTGTCCCAGTTACAGAAGCCACACCAACCACTCACTCACTGCCACTCCTGCTCTGCAGGGATAATCCACCTCCCTGCCTACAGCCATTTTTCGTATCAGCCCTGAGGCTCTGGGGCAACTGCTCTACTCTGCCCAAGGAACTAAAAAGTAAAACCTGTCCTCAGAGGAAAATCGTTTTCTCTGGCATTGAAGTATCCATGACAATTTCGACAACTTTTAGCAGAGAAATGACATTTGGTGTTTGGGGGGAGGCTATGGATCACATGTAATTGAGGAAGTCTCATCTTTACCCTGCAGATGGAAAGCCTGCAACAGTTCGTGTGGAGTGTCCACTCTCCCTTTTAACACCTCACTGAGCTCACAGGTTATCTCTGAAGGCCAGGCATCCACCTTCCTTGCATCTGTGCCTGTAAACTGCAGCACAGGGGCAGGTGCCCACCAAAAGCTGCTCTGGGGCTTACAGGGGTTAAGAGCTCCTGTAAGGAAAGAAAAACCAGAAATAGGAGGCAAAGACAGGAAGGGAAATGAAGAGAAGTAACTTACATAACCTGCCACATTTCTGCAAGAGGGGCTGAGTTTCTCCCTGCTGTCGGCGCAGTGAGGACTGTACTGCAAGCAGAGGCAAACTAATGTGCCTTGGAGACCTACCAGGTGCAGGACAAGGCTTTTGGGCTGAATTTCTCCCTTAGCACCAAATGGCTTTGTCGCAGGGAAGGGCAGGCAAGATAGGATGCAATGCTTGAGGCAAGCTTTTGGATGAGATCATAATGAACATGAAATGAACTTCACTGTGGACTGCCTACTTTTGAAAAGATAAGGCTCCGTGCTCCACAGGATTTTGCTCATCCATGTACCATGAGATGCGGGTGACTGCCAGCAGTCCTGCAGGCTCCTGTTTTGACTCTGTCAGTGTTATGTTCATGAGTGTCAAAGAGGAGGTGGAAGTTAAAAGGAAAAAGAAAGTGGCCTATGGTATGCGAAAATAAAAGAGTAAAAATATCCCCAAAAAGATTGAATTCTGCAATCTTTTTTTGTTTTAAATAATACTTGAAAACATATAAGGAAGGGAAGAAAAAGGTGAAAAAGGTAAAAGCCAAGAGCCTAAATGCAGAAGGACATGGAGGGACCTGTTAGGAAGGGAAATGCCACCAGAGAGACATTGGTTTTCTTTCCCTGGGGAACTCCGTGCTCCTGGAAATGCCTAATGTGGGTACTGAGTTAGCATGGCCAGCACCCTCGCCAACCCAAGGAGTCCAGGCTTGGTGGCCAGAGGTCAGCCCTGTGATTTGGGAGCTACAGTCCCTTCACGGAGGCATAGCCCACCATAGGGGGTTGCAGTCCACACTTCTTGCTTGGCAGAGGAACATGCTATTTCTCCTCGCTCTAAAGCAGGGCTTTGTTTGAGCCACTACTTGGGAGCCCATGGCCCCCCCCAGGTCAGTCTGGACAGGTGGACACGGGGCACCCCCAGGTGTATCTCTTAGACTGAGGGGGTGGCCACAGCCCTCTCATACATGCGCTCCAAGATGCGGTGGATGCTGGCAAAGCCCGGCCGGTCAGCAGGCAGCTTGCTCCAGCAGAGACGCATCAGGTTGTAGAGCTCCAGGGGACAATTGTCCGGGCAGGAGAGGACGTTCCCATCCCTCACGTAGTAGATGACTTCCTCGTGAGCCATCCCATAGTAGGGCTGCATGCCGTAGGAGAAGATCTCCCACAACACCACCCCGTAGGCCCACACGTCAGACTCCGTGGTGTAGCGGTTGTAGAAAATGGACTCCGGGGGCATCCAGCGGATGGGGATGGCATCGTTCTCATTGGCTTTGTAATAGTCTGCTGAATACATGTTCCTCGAGAGACCAAAATCGGCGATCTTGACCACCATGTTCTCCCCTACCAGGCAGTTCCTGGTAGCCAAATCCCGGTGGACAAACTTGCGCTCGGAGAGGTAGGCCATGCCGGCAGCCACCTGCTTGGCAATGCAGAGCTGGCTGGTGCAGCAGAGCGCCAAGGGGTTGGGGAGGCGGGTCCGTGCCTCCAGGCTGCCCTGCACCAGGCTGCAGAGGTTGCGGGGCGAGCGGTCACGCAGGTACTCGTTGAGATCCCCGTAGGCCATGTACTCAAACAGCAGGCACATCGGTTTCCCAACAGCACACACACCTGGAAGAAGATAGATGCACCAGGCAGGTCATTCTGGGTGCAAAGAGGGTTCTGTTGTGCAAAAACAAAAAAAAAAAATAATCCAAAAATATTTACACAAAGGGAAGGCTTTCAAGAATGCGTGAAGGGACAGAGAGAAAGGTGAAGCATGCTAATACCATCAAGTTTACACGCATTCCTTTCTGTCTTTGAAGCTCCTGCACCAGAGATCTCATGCTGAGCTCTGTGGGATTTGCTAACAAGCCATGCAGTTGTCTGATTTGTCTGGACATCCCAGGAAAAAGTTACACTTTCGGAGCTATGTTTAATTAAGAGGCCAATCCTGCTTAAGTTGGCATTAACAGAAGTACTGCCTCTTCCCAGGTGCAAGTGGAAGGACATACTTCCAGAAAGCAACATTTATAGTTCCAGTTGCAGTATTTTTAAGTCTTTCGTTTGTTGTAATTTTTGTACTCACACTGATATGTGTCTATGGGCTACACAGATACAGGAAGACTTCAGGAGTAATCACAAGGGGTATGCTCAAAGGTTCAGTGGGATATCCGAAATGCAAAGACTCTCCCACTACAACAACTTCTGTTTTTTTCACAGCTCATTTTAAACAGCTCATGCAAAAAATGTACTCTGCAGAAATTACTTTTGGCACAACTTATACTCAGAAATGAAAGAAAGACAAAGGAAAAACAGACATCAGAAAGGAGAGATTTTCCACTTCTGGTAGATGCAGAAGCTAGTCCCACTGAAGGGCACATGCTTGGCCCTGCATGAGCTTTACTGGGGGCCAGCATCAGTACAGGACCCCACCCCCATGAGTTTTACTGAGCATACTGTGATATGGCAAAAATATTTGCATGCCTGTTATTAAATTGCCAGCCAGTGAACTCGAGCATTTAAAATATATGTGTTTTGCTTTCTTAGGGCCATTATTTAGCAATTGGTGATCCAACTTATTGTGAAATATGAAATTCTTGATGATGACCTAACACTTGTATCTTTGAGGAAAAACAGATAGCTGTTCCCAGAGTGATAAAATCAAGATCTGACAAGGATGAGGAGTGTATGTGAGAGCTTTATCGTCTAAGCTGTCTTCAACAACATGGCTGTTTTCCCCACACTCCCACAATGTGAAACTTGTTTGTTCTTGTACCTTTGCCCTTTCCTGACCTAAAATGTGTTGACAATAAACACAATGTTTATTTGAGTTTGGGGTATTTCCTGCTTTTCTTTTCTGTAGCCAAAGTATCATCCCAGCTTTCCCAAAACTGGGATCTATCTATTTTCAAATTTTGTGGAGCTTCCTATTGAAATAAATGAAGACTCAGCTGCCAGTTGACAGGGATCAGATCTGCATACAACAGCTCAGAGCAAGATTTCCAGGTGAACGTGGCTAACAACTTCTACTTCAGTCAAAAACTAAAAATTTAGTGAAATAAAATCTGGTCGGCAGCTTTCACAGAAGAATGACCTATTGGCTAAGATGTGCCACCAAGACTCTCAAAAAACCCCAATAAATTAGGGTTTCCTTTCAGCTGGGAAGGGAAGGAAGAGACCATTTTTGTGGTTGGCTTTTTTTGTTTACTTGTTTCATTTTGTTTTTTTAATGCTGGTGAGTGTTCAGACATCACAATAGTGAGTAGGACCCATAAAACTAACAAGACTTGTGCCTGCTTTTTTTAAATACCCACAAAATAAATCACAGCTCCAGGAAGCTCATTCCTTCCCTGTAAAGACATCTGTGCCAATGTCATTACACTGGAAGCAGAGCTAGGCAGCAAGATGGTCAACAGTACACTCGGTGCAGGATGAGGAAGGTTTATTACAACGCAGCATCCTGTTAAGGCAACAGCACCAGACTTATATTTTGAGAGTTTTTCTGGTGGACAATGTAGCAGAGCATGCAATGGCACGTAGAAAATCTCACCTCTTTTGCAAGAGGCATTTTCTCTTGCAAAAGAAACCAGCATTTCCATTTGCATTAAGCTCTGGTCACGCATGAATGTTTGCCCCCGTGCCTCCAACAACCCCACAGCAGATTTGCAGAAGGTGGTGCCCTGTATATGGGCACCACATTCAGATACCTAAAAGCTTGACGATATTCGGATTGTCAAACTCTGCCATGAGAGCTGCCTCTCTCTGAAAGTCAGCCTGCATGTCTGCGGACGCCTCCTCCTTCAGCATTTTCACTGCCACCATTGTGAAAGGCTCATACGGCAGCAGCCCAGGGGCCCTGCAGGGAGAGGGGAGAAAAGAAAGCATCAGGGGTGGATGCATGCACACCAAATGTGGGCTCTGTTTATGATGCAAAAGAAGAGGCTGACAGACAAAAAGAAAAGGAAAAAAAAAAAAAGGTGGAAGGAACTGAAAGACCATCCTCACCTCTCATGCTTGGCTGCATAGCATAATACAGAGACATATAATTTAGTTCAGGGGGGCAATAAATCCAGGATAGCTTTTTTTGACCACCGATCTTTCTGCTTACAGACTCTTTACCATGACTGGTAAAGAGAAAGATAAATAATAGGTTGATATGCAATAACCTTCCTGAGTTGAAGGTCACATCAGAAACTTCATGGAGGTCAGAATGGACTCTTCAGTCCAACCAATTCACTTTTGGGGTGTAATGACTGAGCTTACCAGAGTTAAAAATAAACCTATTTTGTATGAAAATGTTGAAAGAGCCTCTTTTCACTGTGTCTTGTCCCATACCTTGCTCAATGGTGGTGCTGGTACATCTGGCTACTAATACAGTAATTAGCAATTAGCAATACAGAAAATGGCAATTGCACTAAGTATGTTCACCTGATTTTGTAAGGAAAATAGCTTTTTCCCACTGTACTCTGTGTAAGTGTGGCATGTGCGTGTGTCTGTAATTCAACAAGTTATAAACCCATTAGCTAATTTCAGCTGAATATAATGTGGTGGATCTGAGGTCTGGGAAATTGTTATGCTCCTGCAAGTTTTATGACAGGACAGAGTGGAAAGGGCGTACATGTGCCCTGTCTGAAAAACAAGGTAATTCATGAATACACCTGTGAATACACTGGTGAATCTTTAGCTAGATCTTAGAGACACAAATCCATAGGAAACAGAGCTTCCTGACTTGGAGCAATCACACGCTCATTTTGTTTTCTTATCCACAGGCCACTGCACCCTCAAAAAGATTAATTAGATCAGCTTGCCAGGTATTTAGGGGTAGCTGTTGCCAAAGAAGAGTAACTTTCCACTCCTCAAACACGCTCCAAACCTTAAATGTGCAATTTTTTTTCCCACACCAACTCTTCCCAGGGGTCCTGCAGTTAAAACATGCTCCTAACAGGTAGCCAGTCAGAGCCCATGAAGAGCAGCGCCCATTTACGTGTCGTGTTACTACACCAGCCCAACTGCCCTCCCATTGCTTAAATGCCAGGTTATTTTACTGCTCAGCAGCCCCAAGAGGAGGTTCTGATTTCCAAAGCAAACTTCCAGTTTCCTTGTCATCTACTCCAGACATGACAGTTGTAACAGATGCACTTGGACGCTGTAAATGTCAAATGTCACAAGATGGCAGGGTGCCCACTGAGAAAGGAATCTCACAGGTGGCCAGATCACAGCTGAGACACTTGGGTGAGAAGGTCTGGCACGCCGGAGAAGAGGAGCAGACTCCACACTTGTCTGCTACTGCCTCCATTACAGCAAAATCTCTTCCTTCTTTTCTGTGCTGGCAGCGAGTTTCCAGCCTAGTAGGAGGGGAGAAGTACCAGCACCTACCAGCTGCTGTCTAATCTCAGCACTCAAGAAAGTCAGCGGCAACAACCTGAAGAAACCAGTAGAGCATTGAGAAGTAAAAAGAGGAGGGCTTTTATCTCTTCCAAACAGCCTCATTGTAGATTACCACTCATCACTGACTAGCAGACCTACTGCAGACCTACAACAGTGCCAAAGCAGGGGCAGGCACAGCTCTTTCTTGCATGCTTCAGAGAGAGAAGCTCACCCCGGGCTAAAGCCTGAAGTACACCCATCCATCTATTCTTTACTGAAATCCTGTAATGTAAACTAAACTAAATATAACTTAAGTGAGATTAAGCTGCATAAAGCCTTTTAATGGGCCTTCAGACAACAGCTAGTAATTTCACCCTTGGTATTTCATTTGCTGCTTGAGCCCAGTTCTTAGCAGACCTGGGAAAATCACACTGCTTTGGAAGAGAGACAGACGTTTTCAGTCTTGGCAGAGAGCTGTTGAAGTTGACCACTTTGGTGCCCAAAAGACAGTCTTTGCACAAAGGCATAGGGGCACATCTGCAGGGGAAAAATGGGAAGCTTTTGAAATTAACCAGGAGAATTCAGGTGGTGGACCAGAAAGTGGCATATTTTCTAGAAAATACTTCCCAGTCTTCTAGAACTGGGAAGCATCAACAGAAATCACATTGCGTTTCCTCCCTTGTGATTATTTAAATACTTATGAGAAATGTCCACTGTTTGCACACAGGATGGACAACAGCTGTCCTCACCACCTTCACCACTGATGGTTTTCTGCAACACTAGCAGCATTGGCTTTCAGGTGCCTGTATTTGAGATTGTTTCCTGTTCCCCATCTTCTTCAGCATCACAGCTGGGTAGCTTCTGTTAGATCATTAAATGATGCAACTAACTTCTACTAAAGCTGGTGGAGACCAGCCTTTACCCTATCCTTTACAGAAATATCTATGTGGGCAGAAGACTGCTCTGAACTGGCAGGGGCTTGTTTTGTTGTGGTGTGTTTTTTAATTAACATCCACGCTGTTTTTCAGCTACATTTGAGAGAGCAGGTCAAAGAAGCACCCTTTGCACTTGGAAGAACATGAGGAGTCTTCTGTCAGAGAGACTCCCACCTTAGGGACAGCCTTGTATCTTGCAGAGGCAATGACACTGCCCTGCAAAGATCCCACATCCAGGCTTTTAGGCAACCCTGGGCTTCAGGCTTAGCCTGGACCATGCAGTTCCAGCTCTGGGAGAAAACTTGTGTGCTGATCTGCACTGAACCACACAGGGTGGCATGTGGGGCCAGTGTGGTCCTCCCAGGGACAGAGGATCCTGAGTCAGTCATCACAACCCTGTTGGGAGAGACGTAAGCCAGGTCCTGAGTCTTGCATTAAGGACATGTATTAGGGTAACTGGTTACTTCCTCATCCTTTCTAGTGTGAAGCTGCCCCCAGTGAATACAGCAGCCTTTCAGGAGAAGCTGGTAAATGATAGCCAGACGCTTCCTGTCCTAACATGTTGCTTGACCCAGGAGTGAGTAAACACTGAATCAGGACTCACAGCAAGCCAACTGGCAAAGACATCCTTGGCACTGGGAGCAGATCTGTGTTTACAGGAGAGAGAGAAACATGAGACTCAAGAAGTAAGATGGTTGCTAAACTTAGCTCAAGATGTCCATTTAACACACGTAGATAAGTACATTTTATCCATCTGAGACAGGAAGGCAATAATTTGAGTTTTGATAGCTTTAGTAACCTGGAGGGATGCACAGCTGGCGCTACTGGATCAGCAGTCTGTGCTGATCTGCCAGTAGTGCACAGAAATGACAGTGGCTTAAATGTTTCCTGGAAATATAAGGCCTTGGAGGGACTTTTGATAGATATTAATAAAAATAAGGAAGCCCCTCAGAAGCAGTATTTCTGTGGCTCCTTCCCTGAGCCACAGAGAGCAGGCACTTCTCAGTGTACGGTACTCTCCACTTTGCAAAAGCTGGCTGAGAGGATGTGTTGCTTTTGCGTGTGTGTGCATGTGTCTCTTTTTCTCACAATTTCCACTGACACTAGCAAAAAGGTTTAATTAAAAGAAATTGCAGCACTGGTGTGGATGAAATCCACAGAAATTGGATTTCTATGACCCTTTAGCACTTGTTTAACCCAGCGCTTCAGTGGCACTTGAATGCCCTTTGAGAGGTCCTGCTCAATGTGGATGAGAGTCATTTCCAGCTCGGAAAGGTCTGTGCAGCACTTAAATTATACTGAAGCTGCCAGCGCCAGGCTGAAGAGGCACTTGGAGGAAGACCACCTTCCCTGTTTGCACACCCACAGTGTGGTGAAGACCCCCATCACACAAGCAGGAAGGTGATGCTCCGTAGGGCATCCCGACTGCTGTGCTGAGGCTGGGACAAGGGCTGCCCTCTGGTCCTGGGCCAGCTGGTGTCCAAGGCCCCGAGCACAGCTGTGCCAGAGCTCCTACAGCTTTGTCCTTGTTTCAGGCTCAGATGTGTTCAGCTTTGCTGTCCAGGCTAACAATCAATCACAGGCTAAGCATGTGTGATTTTCCCACTGCACACCCTTCAAACTGTGTTATTTTTAGCTCTCTCTGGATTAAAGAAAAGTATGTCTGCATTGCTTCCATTAGAAAGAATGCATCCCTTCATTAGAAAAAAAGAAAATCCATCACCACTATTGGAACTGTTTCCCCGCTCTAACACATTTAACCTGCAAGTAAATGATTTCCCAGGAGATAAATCAACAGCATAATTATAAACATTAAAAGTATCTCCAATTATGACTGCTTTTTGCAAGGAGAGTTGTTTGTATTCGGAGTCAATGGGAGCAGCTCCACCAGCCAGGTCTTGGCCCATAGTGACACTGATACTCCCCCAGATTTTTTTTAAGGTCATCATACACTACTCCAGATACAGCCACAAAACCAGTCACATCCCAGACTTCTTAACTATAAAGGACAAAGAAAACCATCTTAAGTAAACATGAAACTGCATAGTCTGTCCACTTCTCTTCAGGAATTTGGGGATGGAATTTTCCAGAGAGCCCAGTACTGGACAAAGATGGTCCTGCAGAAATTATGGAATCTGTCAAGGCTAACAAGATACCCTCCATCCACCTCAGTCTAGGCGGGACTGGGTTCAACACTGGGTTTTTCAATGAAACATTTTTCACATTTGAAGAAGTGCATGAGCTCACCTCCCATGAGATTTAACAGAACTGGGATGTCAACTAATACCTTAAATTTAAAACAAGCAACAAGAATAAATAATAAGGAACTAAAGAGGACCAAAAAAAAATTAAAATTGTTGGCCTAAGTGGGTTGGGTTTTTAGGGGATTTTTGGTTTGGTTTGGGTTTGCCACTGAATCAAATGGAAACTGGGTCAGGACCTAACTGTAGCATGACACATTGCCCTCTGTATTAATTATTGACCAATGTTGGCGTTGTAATGGAGGACACCACACAATTCATAAATACTGGGAAATGCAAGAATTTCACAATAGGTCACATGTCACAGGCAATACTCCGGGTAAAAACAGTGATGATAAATTTAGCTAAGCTTTTACACCAGATTGGTATATCACTAAGACATTACATATACTAGAGAGAACAGGAGAGTCATTTGTGACAAAAGTTTAACAAATATCAACAGAAAGCAGTGCACAACAGAAACAATTATTCAAGCCTGAGTGTACCATTTGGTACATATGGATATGACTTTGGCTTGGGTGAATGAATGAATGAAGGAATGATTGATTTCCAGTGCCCAGATAAGCAGTTTCCTGACTGCCAGGTTTTCCCAGGTATCTCCAGATAAAGAGTACTTGCACACAGGTCGCTTACCTTGCTTGGAAGACTCTCCCAAATGCTCCTTCCCCAATATCTCTCACATATTCAATATTGTTCCTGGGATACTCCAGGCTAAGCAATTTTGGATTGAGGAGAAGGGGCATCCTCTGGTACATCGGGTTGGGGTGCAGGCGGTCCAGAAGGAGTTCAGAGGGCAGAGTGGTGAGCGTCGGTGTCTCTGACTCTCTGAAATGACGGAGCAGTTTTTGGTAAGTGTATGCACAGCCCTTAAACACAAGATAACTATCTGCATCTCCTCCAGGGGTTCTTTCTTCCAGGACAGAAAAGGAAGGTGCAGCAGGCTGTTTAAAGAGCCTTGCTGCAAGGTGTCACACCACGTGCCCAAAACAGTCACCAGGCCACCATCTGCACTGGCACAGGGACTCGACAGAGCTCGCACTGGGCTGCCATGGGCAAAGGGAGGGTTGCTCCCTCCCTACCGGGATTTTGTAGGACTATGCTCTCAGAAACAAGAAAACCCTCTTTCAAAGCAGCATTTGTTGCCTTGAATTACATCCCAAGGTTTACCTTTTTTTGTTTTTCCACTGCTTTCGCCGACGGCAGCAAACCAGGGTGACAATGCCAAAGATGACAACCAGGGCAAAGCTGGAGATGATGGAGATGATAACAGTCATGGAGTACGTAGGGGAAAAGGGAGGAGGAGGGGGCAGATATGGAGTCTCTCCATTTGGTTTTCTTGTTCCCAGTGATAATGACGCTGTAATGCAAACAAAATCAGAAGGTTATGACTCTGTTAGTTTATAGGGCTTTCTCTAAGGTATTTACAGAGTCGGTCTGGTGTCCTGGGAATCATTGACTTTACAGATACAACGGTATGACTGCAGAAGAGGACCATACTAGGGAAGCCTGGTTTGCAGGAAGCAAAACCCATTTCTGCTTGCTAAATGTGAGAACCCAGGATTTGGTAAAGGCTAAGACACAGCTCCCCTTGAGCTGGGAACATGATTTTCATAAGGAATATTTGCACAAGTTACAGATGGGAGATCACATCTGACGGTCTCAACAGTATTCAAATATAGTAATGTCTGCAGTAGGAAAGATCAATGCTCTACAATATGGACCACAATGTATCATGTGTCCTAAAAGGAATCTGCAGGGAGGAGTGTAAAACCAAGTAAGTACACAGTGATAGTTTCCTGAAATATCCCCTTGCTTCCAACAGTATGCATCTCAGTGTCTTTACAGAGCAATATGGTAAAGTAGTGTAAAATACATTTGGCTGTATTGTTAGGATAAAAAAATATTATTCAGGTAGCCAGCTGCTGAGTACTTTCTGAGACATTCTAGAAAATGCTAATCGGTACATGCAATGATTGAGATTACAAAGAAATTTAAACCATTCTTTTTAAGGCCAGCTAATTTGCAAACACTGAGATCCAGAAACTGTGCATCTTGGATGAAATATGTTTCAAAAATTGTTCTATTCTTTGAACAAGGAACAACAGAAAGACTGTTTCCATCTTTTTCAGATTTGGTTGTAGTTAGAATTGGGTTTTATTATTGGGAAAAAAAATCACCAGAAGCAAAACAACTTTGCAAAATAGCCCCAAACCCTACCTTTTCCTCAAAACACAGTGTGGCAAATCCATTTTTCCCAATATCACAGGAAATTTGATTTTGTCCTTTGGCCATAGTATAATCTGGGGCAAGGTGCTTGATTTGCCTGTCTTCATTTTCCCATCTTTAAAGTGCTTGTTACACCTTCTGGTTAAAGTTGCTGAGTGAATCTATGAGAAGAACCAGGACTGGCCAAATCCACAAGACAGAAAAGACCCCATGTGGCCATGAGCACTCGGGATGCAAACACCTTCCATGGCTCCAAATTAACCACAGTGTCAGAAATCATACATTGCTGTTGCCTACCCTCTTCACAGGGAGACACGCTGCAGTATTCCCAGGTCACGGATGGGTCTTTTGTGTAGCACCAGGGACGTTCATTCTCACCTCCTGGATTGCGGCAATAATTCTCGGCATCAGACAGCTCAGGGAAAACCTGAGGAGTCCTCCTGTGCAAGTGGGGAGCCTTGGGGGAGGAAACAAATTGGATTAGCGTTGCAGTATAATTTTTCCTGCTGGTATTAGCAAAACAAAACCAAAAAAAAACCAAAAGAGAAACGAAAGGCAGAGGTAAAACGGCCTTTCAGTAGCTTGCCAGAATGGCAGAGAATGCATCTTGCCATGGGAAGGGGAGCTTGCAGATTGATATATGAAGAGGGTGTGAAACACCAGTGAACTCAAAAATGAAGGCAACCTATCCCCTGCTCAGCCCTGCCACTGGGACTGCTCTGCCCAGCTCTAGAAAACTCTGGAAAAGCAGATCTTGAGCACGGATTTCCATTGTACACTCATACACACCTGGTCACTCCACTTCTGGCAGGGAATGCCGGAGGCTGTGACGTTGGCCCAACCCTGGTAAAACTGGCCATTGCCACTGTAGCACGTCCCTGGGGGGAGGGGAAAAGCACATGGGGTCAAAGCATCTCAGACCATGTCCTGCAGAGGCGACGCAGAAAAGTAAACTTCATGTCATTACATGAGAACACGTGGCAACTAGCAACATATCTGAAGCACATAAAAGGACCAGACAACTACAAGCAGGGAACTGCTTAGCCTCCTGTTCAGACTTAAATGGATTTTGAGCTCAACACGTACAATCAAATCTGGTGAAACTCCACAGAGGGAACTGGAGCTGTTTCAGACTGAGAAAATGGGCCATGCGCCTGCAATGCTTGCACTGTATCTAGCCAGTTCACAGCACTTCCACGCAGAACGTGCAGAGCAGAACCACAGGGAAGCCACCCATGCCAAACCATGGTGGAAAGCAGATTGCAGGACTGGTTGCCTGATCCCCAGCCTCCTCTCTTACAGGGGCACTAACAAGAACACATCCATGTTCCTGGGGTAGGTGAGTAAGGGCTGGGACTCCTGAAGTCCCGTGGTGGTATCCCTCCTCCCTGCCTCTGTTCAGCGCTTGCCCTCTTAGACTCAATGTTTGGAAACAGCCTAGGGTTTACAGAAGGTGTGGAAACCATGTACTGAAGGAAACTACAGATCTGAGGGAATAGTACCAGTATAAAACAATGTTCTTTATAATGATGAATGTGTAGTTCACTTTTCATAGACAAGGCTTACTCCAGCAGCAGAAAAATTAATCACAAAATATTGAAGTGATTTTTATTGCAGAAATATGTTCCCAAAATATAAATGTAGGCACCGCCTGTCCTCATAGGACAATTTAATGCATGCTGGCATAATCTATGAAGCAGGAAGACAAGAGAGGAGATGCAGCCTTGGACACTTTAATACATGCTAGCTAATCTTATGTAAACTTTGCTGACCAGGGACTAGTATTCTGGTTGATGGCATGCATTAGGGTCCACTGCATTATTAACCTTGTTAGATCAATTAACAAGCCGGCAAACACTGTTGTCATTTTATTTTCTATTGTGTTCATAAACTTGCAGCTCAGAAAGAGAAAACCAGGAAGAAACCTGACCTGTTGTAAAATAATGATTTTTTTCAAGCAAATCTTTTTCAGCTTCATGAAAGCTTTGTATAAGTTTTGATCCAAGTTTGAGACAAAGGGGAAGTGTTTTAATTTAAGGTTGTCCTGATTCTCCTGTAGGAGGAACATCGTAAATGCATCATGATGACTGCTCTTTTCTTTTTGCATAACCTACTGCATTCAGGATTGAGTTGTGGGTCTTTCATAGAACCTTAGCTTTCTGAACTTTCACATGGGTAGGTAGAAACACTACCACGACATTGTTCCAGGTGAGTGAGCTCAAACACAGGATCAAGTTCCTGTAGCCCAAGGCATACAAACACCTCAGTATAGGAATGGCCATGGACTTCAGAAGTGCACTTAACCCATCACAAATGCAAAGTAAAATGCTCTAACTTGGACTTCTTTGACTGATATGTAAGCTACCATGTTATGCCCCACATCTGCAACAAGCTAGCTGTCCCTACATGACCAGTACCTGCAGCTCTGCAGAAGTGTGCCATCTTGTTAAGCTGCCCAAGAACATAGCTGTGTGTTTGAGGTCAGCATTTTAAATGTCTCACATTCAAAGGCAAGGAAAGCAATGCCTGAAACCTGCTGCATGACTGAGCTAGTAACAACATGGAAAAAAAAAAATCTTTTGCACAGATCTGAAAAAAACATCAGTGTACACCCTAGAGGAGCAATGTGGAGAGCTTTAGGAGCAACAGCAACACTAAAGCAGCACCTCTGAGTGCTTGGTGGCCTGGAAAATGCAGATGCTCTCATACATGGTCTTGCTACAATGAGGACATAAAGGTGGTCCAACTGGGCTTTAATGAATACCTTCAAAGCTATCCTGGGCAAGCCAGAAAACAGTTCAGTTCATGCTCCCCAGACCTTTGTGCACCTAACATTGGCTCTAAATTAAAAAGGGGAGAAATATAACTAAAATGTTACTGTTATGTCTCCCTGATTCATGACCAAGTAGTACAAATCTGTGCAATGTCACCCTGGGAAAATATTGTGAAAGCTGAACAAAAAGGTCAGATATTTACACAGAAGATAGAGACCATGTCCTTAACTTGCAAACGTTCAAGGGGAGGCTGAAACCACCCCATGAATGTACCATTCATCTGCTGGCATCCCACATTTGTGCTCCTTTCCCCAGGGAGGGGATGGCTGCAGCTGCAGGCTGTAAGCCTTGGGCAAGTGACACTGGAGAGCCCACAGGGTGCTAAAGCGTTTGTCTCCCAGCTGTGCAGCACCAGGTGCCTGGGTCTTGGCTGGCAAAAGTGGAGCCGGGTCCTTCTCATGAAAGAAAATGCCCCAAAATTCTCAATTTTACCTTTTTCACTTTCTCTCTCAACGCAGAAGCTGCCTGCCAAATCTGCAGGCCTTGCTGCTCAGAAGCATGGCAGAAGGGAGGCACTGCTCTTCCTTTTCCTACGAGACAAGTCCCATGGCTGAGCTTTAAAATCTCAGTTGGAAAAACTGGATGTGCATGTTTCAACTGTGACCATCAGCAGGGCCAGAGGAACAGAAGTCACAGCAGCGTTACAGGGCATGGCTGGGTCTCGCCATTGGTCGTGTGGTGGTCACAGGAAACATGGTCAGACTTCAGACATGTTTGGAGGAGAGTACTGGGGATTTTGGGGTAATAAGGTCTTGCAAGGCTAGCCTGACATAAGTAACAGTAACAGCATATAAGGCTGGGATGATCTCAGTAGTAGTAACAGAAACACTAAATATGGGTAAGGCAACACTAGAAGCAATGGGTAGAAAGAAGGGGGAAGAGCTGGAGGGGAGTGTACCACCTAAAAGCCCTATGCCTCTGTCATCACCTTCAACAGTTGCCAGCCGATGTTCTCCCCAAGCCCTGAAGAGCTGAAAATGTATTTCCCCATGCCTTGGATGAGGAAGTTCAAGCATTCCCTGATAAGAACCTGAATCAGGCCAGCCAGGACTAGAACAAAACACAAAAATGCCATGCAAGATGCATCTTCAAGAAAGAAGATCATGCCCACCTCTAGAAGCATAGAGCCTGGAGCAGTCTACTTACTGGTTATATTCTCCTTCTTAAAATCTGTAAAAAGACAAAACATAAGCGGAGGTCATCCAGGATGTGGTATAACTGGGTGCTTGCTTAGGAGCATGCTATGGGAATAAGTTCCCTCCCAGCAGTGTGGTTAAGAGGCTTGTTTCTTTGCAATGGCACCCAAATGGCAATTTTGCCATCATTAAGAGTGATTTTGGCAATGAGATTGTTATGGCCCTCTCAGTAAAGAGCCAGGGTTTGGTTTTTTGAGGGATTTTTCCCATGCCCCAGTTGGAGGAGACAGACAAACAGCTGATGCAGCAGTCACAGTTCTGTGCACAAGTGCTGGCAGGCCAGCACCCACCATCAGCCTTTACTTTCGTTGTAAATTATGGGTGATACCATTCCCCCCTCCCTCACTGAGGACACAGCTCTCCAGTCGCTGGGCAGCGTGTGCCACCTTACCGAAGAAAGGGATGCGGGTGCAGGCGCTGGGGTCCTGGTGCAGGCTGGGCAGCCTGTTGCATTCGGGTAGAGTGAGCAGCATCAGCCCAGGCTTGTAAATCCCCTTCTGAGAGTTTTCCTCCATTGAGAGCCATTCCTTAAAGCAGTAGAGATCCTTTACAGCAAGGCAATTCTCTCTACATTATTTTGCAAAAAACAGTGAAATAATAGCAGTCAATGGCTTGATAACAACGGCTGCACTTTGCAGTGGTGTGCAGGGGTTATGTGGGCTGACAGAAATCCATTAATGGGGCTACGTTTCCTCAGGTCAGTCTGTCTGGCTCATAAACCATAAGCAAAATGTAACACCTTCCTTTAGGAAACCCACAAAGCTACATCTTTAATGAAGCAGGGTTATGCTTAAAGCACAACACCCATCACAGTCTGTGAGGAGTTCGTTCCCATCTTTTCCTACAGATTTATTGCCATCTTTTACTAATAAACATCATGTCTGGGAGTTACATCAGAATTTTTCAGTACGTTCTAAAAATCTCACCTGTCTGTAGGCTGTACATTAAAGTGTCATCTATTAAAGACAGGAGGTGAGCTGCAATTCTTAATATTCTTAAACTAAATATTTGCCTGTATTTTTAATCTCACAGAATCATCCATCCGATTTTCTTCTTTTCTCCACAGTCACTTTTCATCCCCTTTTCATCTGTCAGCTGTCTGCATCAAAACCTTGACAGTGCCTGGTACAACAAGAGACCTAACTGGCTCCTCCCTAATCTGTTACTTCCATCAATGGGAAACATTCACTGACAAGAATGGATATGTTGCTTAGATCAGAAACTGTTTGTGAAGGAAGGCCAAGGCAGAAATACCTGCTCTAGCAAAAAAAAAAAAAAAAAACATTGCAAAACCAGCTTTGACGTCATGTGCAGAGAGTACTTTTGCTGAGCTCAGCAAATGTCCTTGGTGGGTTCACAGCCTTCTTGACCACCACACCACTGCTGGTAGGTGTGGGAGAGGACACAGTGATGCAAAAAGATACAGCTGGTGTCCACACTGAATGTTTTAGCCAAATTCATCACCTGGTGGGCTGATACAGCTTCTTTACTTATATTCTGCTAGCACTTTTGGCAAGAGCAGATGGCCACGAGTTTCAATGGTGACTATGGTGCCCACCCTCTAAAGCACCTGAAGGACAGAGGCTATTGGGAATTCTACCAGGGCAGCAGCTTTTCTGCAACAGCAACGGATGCTGTTGCATCCTATGACTGAAGCCACGGAAGCCCAATTGCCCTGTGCTTGGTTTTAGCCAGGGCTACTTTATTCTTTCCTCTCTTCCATGAAAGCCAGAATGCAGCCAGATGGCGTAATTTATCTTTTTTATGTTAAACATATGGAACAGGAATGACTTTCTGAAGTAAAGAAATATTTAGCTAGGGAAATGAGAAAATCTTGCATTTGAAGTGCTGGCTGACACTTGGGAGATCTGGACTGCATTAGCTGCCTTCTCTCCTGAAGCCTGAGCATCCCTAAACAAGGCTCTTACTTGGTATGCAACTGCAAAATGCAAAAGACCGTTCCTCTGCAATCCTGTCTGCTCCAGCATTAAAAGCAGGTTATCTTTACACACAAACCCACCCCAGGAGTGTAGTGAGGCAGCCAGAGGGAGGGATGGTCAGGCTGGGTTCATACCATTGTTATAGCACTTAATCCTGAGTAGCTAGGGCTTGATGAGATCATATGCAAAGATTACTTCAGATTATTATTAGAAATTTTATGTCATGTAAGTGACAGATGGACAAAGAACAGTAGCAGCAGCACAGGAGAAGTGGGCCAGCAACATTTTAGGGACCACAAAGGACTGTTTGAAAGAAGGTGGGGACACAGAAACCCAACAAAATGAGTCATTTCCCAACATGAGACTGTTCCCTGCAGCCTGGTCACTTCATACCAGCAGTGGTTGAAAGAGAAATGAGGAGTTTTCTATTGCTGTCACAGAAGCAGCTAGTGGTAAAAGGCAGATGTAATCAAGAATTGTGAAATGACACATTACTTTCCCTTAAAAACAAGAAAACTCTAATTTTAATCAAAAATTTACATGAAGTGAATTTTTTCCATGTTGTTTTCTTCCAATTCACTTCATCGTGTTTTACCCCCTGATTATTTTCATAGAAGTTTTATTCAGTTTGTTTGTCAGTTGTTATTCTTGCTAGCTAGTTTCCAAACCAAACTGAATATAAAGAATTATACAGGGAGAGAAAAAACAATGGTGCAGAGAATAAATAACAAGAAAAAAACATATGTAAATATGTTAAGAGAAATATGTCCCTCAAAAACTGGGGGAATTCCCCAGCCTCTGAGATAGCTAAAATCTTACTTGTGAGTATTTCAGCTGAAAACTGGTATAGTCTAGCCAGTTTCTGCAGAGAGGTATAAAGTTGCCAGTAAAAAGCAGATAAGATAATTGGAAAGTAACCAAGACCATGTGAAATGCATTCAAGAGCCCCCAGAGGACTCAGCTGTTCAGAAGTATCTATTAGATATCTGAGTTATCAAAAGGAGTATTGGATTAGGGCTTTGGAAGAGCTGTTGTCCAGCTGATGTGGTCTGGGAACAGGAAACAGGAAGGATGCTGTTCCAGGACTCGTCATGAAGAAAGCTGCATTTAAATCTGCATTAAAATGATGGAGAAAAATATTTAAAGGGAAAAATAACCATAACATGGTCTCACGGATTTGAAGAAAGATGATGCCAGGAAAGTCCATTAAGATCATTGACATATTTGCAAATGCTGTGCCTGTTAGATCAACATCAAGTGTTATGCTATTTATCATACTTTGACTTCAGGAGTGCTGCAGAAGTGCAGGTCTTCAGTCAAATTACCATGACTTCTGGTCCTGCAGGGTTACTCATGAAATGAGACCTAGATCTCACTGAAATGCCTCGTGCAGCACTGTGCAAAATCCTTAGCTGCCAAATGAGCTGTGCATACGTGGCTCAGATATAAATACTGTCACACATCTTGAAAAAAAGGCAGAGAGATCATGTACTAAGGGGCACAGTGACAAAGAGCAGAACAACAAGGCGGCAGGGGGGAGCGTGCTCGCAAAAAGCGAGTTTCAGTACTTGGCTGCATGATTATCTGTGGGTATTTGCACATACTCTTCTGTCGTAGGATATATGCCACTACTGTGCTGGTAGAGGAATCCTTAAGAGCATAGACACCAAACAGAGAACACAACATACTGGGATTTTCCTCTGTGACTTTGCTTTAGAGATATTAAAGGAGGAGCAATCGGAAGGGTCCAGATTACAGAAACAACATGCTGCTGATTGTCCTAAAAAGCCCCTACATAACTGGAAAAATAATTGCCAGTAGACTACATCTGGCCGAAGTCCAGCTGGCAGCGTGCTTGCCATGTCTGTAGAGAAGTCCTGTATTTTACTTGAGACACTAGAGTTGGGGCCACTCTCCCAATAAACACAAATCTGAATAATCTGTTTTAAACTATGGTTCAAGGAGAACAAGAGCAAAGTACTGCACTTAGGCAGGGGTGTCAGCTGCCCAGACATGAAACTGGTAATGGCCAGATAACAGTCCTCCGGGGCCTGAAAATGGACATGAATCAGTTGTGGCCAAAAGTTGTATTAGGGAAAAAGAAAGCTCTACCCTGAGGCATCTGTGTGAGGCTGTTCTCTGCAAAGCACACCAAGCAATCATTGTTCTGTTATAGTTAACATTAACAGAACCTGGAGGCTATATATATATATTTAGCACTTCAGGAAAGATGAGGAGCAGAAGCTGCAGAGGCTGGAAAAGCAAAAGTTTCAAGCAGAGCTTGAAAAAACCTCATTTACTCAACTCTGAGAAGCTGGGAAAGATGTAAAATCTTGCTACAAAGAGGAAGGGAAGAAACTTGTCTATGTGGCCACGGTGGGAGGACAAGGAGCCACAAGAGAAAGGCTGCTTAGAAGGTTGCACAGGGAGGGAGCAGCGTCTCTGTCGCTGGGACGTGTTGCGCTAACACCTGTCAGCAGTGGATTAGCTGTAGTGAGAGATGCTTTGGACTCCTCGGGGTCTCTGCCAGCCCTGTTTCAATGCACATTTCTCTGCATATGGGAGGATACAAGGGCCAGATGGGAGGTTTGGTTAAGCAGGTACAATTACACTGGCAGTGCCTCTGGTGTCATCTTTTTTTGTTTCATCTTTGTCGTGGTGGTAAGTGTTGAATGATTAGTGTACTGCCTTGGCCAGATTTGTTGCGTGCATTGTGACCATATTTAGTCAAAAATCCCAAACAAGCAATTACTTTTGATAATAATATAATGAGTACATACCAACCTAGTAAGATTTAACCAATAGCAATATGTTAATTATTTAAATCAATTATGTCATTCAAATGAATATTTCTTTTCAACACTGTCTGGCAAAAGCCTGATACAACACAGATGCCTGGGCCTGAAAGTTAGCCCATACTCTAGCAATAAGCACAGAGCGAGCTGGATCAGGTCATCTTTGTGCGTACAGAGGAGAGAGCAAAGGGAAAACCCATGCAAACCTAGACAGCACATTTTCACTGGGAGCTACTGCAGGCCTAGACAGACCCTCACGACTCCCCCGCTGCCTACACATCCCCACAAAATGAAACTGAAAGACGAGCATTTCTTTTCATTTACCTGCACACTGGTTTTGGAGCTGGCCCAGCTCCCGAGGGATTGCACTCCTGGAAGATGTAGTTACACAGCAGAGACTCAGCGGCCGGTTGGCAGAATGAACTCACCATTTTCAGTTCAGTCCAGGCAGTGTGCACAAGCAGCTCTTGGGTCTCCTCTGGGTCAGCATAGGAGGAGTTGAAGAAAACAAGAGCATTCTTCGCCAAGATAGCACTGCACACCTCACCTCTGTATGTGCTGCAGTAGCCTGTATCACCCTTGTACAGCTTGCTGTGGAGGACAAGAGCATATAGACACAGTAAGCTCACAGCCCTAAACACCTGCAGGAACAGGATGCCTATGTTCTCTTTCTGTGTAAAGTGTTATCTGTAAGGGTAACACAGGCTGGAGGGGAGGGCAGATGGTTATAAACACTAAAAACAGCTAATACCATCCAAAAATGAAACTTCTGCAAGGAAGCCTGGTGAGAGCACAGGGCCTTGCTGGTGATCTCCATGGTTGAGGCTCTGGCCAAGGCTTGCTAACATTCTAAGATGGGGAAAAGAGCAATTGCACACAGCTATGGCCTAGCAAGGGCCCTCGCCCTGCTCCCAGGGCCTAACTGGAAGACATTTTATTTTCCTGCTTCCCTGCAGTAGAGATCAGCCATGCTGCTTGCTGTACACCTGTGGTAACTCATGATTTTTTGCTCTCCTAACTAGTAACAGTTTAATTCTGGATGGACTCAATTAGCAGGAGCCAGGTGAGTCCCACCCAACACATGCCAGGACATTCCTCACAAGATCAGACCAGCCAAGATCCTGCCTGCCCCTCCTTAGCTCCTGCACCCCTCCTGGCCCTGCCTCTCTTCCCCACATGTTTAGGTGGGAGACACAGGGAAGAAAAAGGCAGAAGCTTCTGTAGTTTTTCTTCTGGTGCTTCCCTGCAAGGTCCCGTCTTTTTCTCTCTTCACCATATCTCCCACTTTGCAAACTCCTGCCACAAAGCATGGGGCCAGAGCTATGCTGGAGCAATAAAAGCACAGCAGGACCGGCTCCTTCTCGGGCTGTTTATTTATCTTTCCCTCGTTTTTCACATATACCAGGAGACGGCTGTCATCCCTCCTTCCCTTCTTCCCCACAGCCATCAAAAGGGAGCAGCAGGGCGAGGGCACCCAGAGGTCAGTGGTGCTCCCAGCAGCTCCCATGGCCACCCCACCGCAGCAAGGTCTGTGGCAAGGACGTGCCCTCCGCTCAGGCATATGGATGCAGTGTCCCCAGTGAGGAAGGAAACCTGAAAAAAGCCATCCCCGGGTGTGGGGGACAGCCGATTCGGGACGGGAGGAGGGCTGGGTGCAGCTGTCCCCACTGCTCATTCGGCCAGTTTAACTGGGGTCAGGGAGTTCAATTCACAACACGCCAACCATTTGGAGTAGCCAGCGGAGCTATTTGTGTCTTTGCCTTTTATTTCTTTCCCCTGTCCAAATAATCGCTCATTGTCAGCCCTGGGGGTTCTTGCTGTTTTTCTTTGGAAAGCTGGAGGTACGGGGACAAGGGATTATACAAGATGCCCAATTTCAGCTTTTCAGATTCTGCTTTTTGCAGATGACACTCTCTGGCTCCGGTTTAGCTGCACTGGCTTCCCTGCAGTAGAGATCAGCCATGCTGCTTGCTGTACACCTGTGGTAACTCATGATTTTTTGCTCTCCTAACTAGTAACAGTTTAATTCTGGATGGACTCAATTAGCAGGAGCCAGGTGAGTCCCACCCAACACATGCCAGGACATTCCTCACAAGATCAGACCAGCCAAGATCCTGCCTGCCCCTCCTTAGCTCCTGCACCCCTCCTGGCCCTGCCTCTCTTCCCCACATGTTTAGGTGGGAGACACAGGGAAGAAAAAGGCAGAAGCTTCTGTAGTTTTTCTTCTGGTGCTTCCCTGCAAGGTCCCGTCTTTTTCTCTCTTCACCATATCTCCCACTTTGCAAACTCCTGCCACAAAGCATGGGGCCAGAGCTATGCTGGAGCAATAAAAGCACAGCAGGACCGGCTCCTTCTCGGGCTGTTTATTTATCTTTCCCTCGTTTTTCACATATACCAGGAGACGGCTGTCATCCCTCCTTCCCTTCTTCCCCACAGCCATCAAAAGGGAGCAGCAGGGCGAGGGCACCCAGAGGTCAGTGGTGCTCCCAGCAGCTCCCATGGCCACCCCACCGCAGCAAGGTCTGTGGCAAGGACGTGCCCTCCGCTCAGGCATATGGATGCAGTGTCCCCAGTGAGGAAGGAAACCTGAAAAAAGCCATCCCCGGGTGTGGGGGACAGCCGATTCGGGACGGGAGGAGGGCTGGGTGCAGCTGTCCCCACTGCTCATTCGGCCAGTTTAACTGGGGTCAGGGAGTTCAATTCACAACACGCCAACCATTTGGAGTAGCCAGCGGAGCTATTTGTGTCTTTGCCTTTTATTTCTTTCCCCTGTCCAAATAATCGCTCATTGTCAGCCCTGGGGGTTCTTGCTGTTTTTCTTTGGAAAGCTGGAGGTACGGGGACAAGGGATTATACAAGATGCCCAATTTCAGCTTTTCAGATTCTGCTTTTTGCAGATGACACTCTCTGGCTCCGGTTTAGCTGCACTGCAGAATCACAGAATCACAGAATGGTTAGAGTTGGAAGGGACCTTAAAGATCATCGAGTTCCAACCCCCCTCCATGTCGATTTTCTTTTAATTCATACTTTTCCTGTATGTCACATTGGCTAAAAAATACTGGAAGGCACTGATTCCTTGGGGTAGTACCAAAATGACAGGGAAGGTGTGACACCCTGCATCACCCCAGGCTCCGTGGACAACCCTGCGTGTGACACAGGTCCACAGGCCTGGCCCACAGCCTGTGACATCTCCCTGGCACAAAGCAGGTTTCCCCACAGCACCGTGCTGCCCACAGCACCCTGCTCGAGCATGTCCTTGGCAATCACATTATTCACATTTTCCTGATGATGCCCGTTGTGCTTAATCTGAAAGGTGCGTCCTCCCAGTGCCCCAAAAGGCAAAAGGGGACACAGGCCTGCATGGGGCAGCTGTGCTACTGACTTCAATGGGCTGCAAAAGAAGCCTAACAAGAGCCACCAGCACTAATATTGTTTTTCCTTGCTTTTTTAAAACCTGCAGGGAGACACGGACCAGGCTGCAATGGAGAGGCAGCCACAGCATGTTTCTCACAATGCCTTGTCACAGAAAGGGAATTTGGTGTGGCAAATGTTGAGAACAACTGTGGGGCAGGAGGGATGAGTATTTGATGGCTGTTCCCATGCCTGTCACACCTACATGGGTGCAGGTGTAAGGCATAAGTCTGCCATCATCATTGGGTGGTCACTAAATCACCTACAAACTTCCTGAATCAATCTTGCAAGCCCCTGTGAAGGAGGCAAGGGCCTTGGCAGGAAGCCTGTGTCAGCAGAGTGGCAAAGCCATTTGCTCAGGCTTTCTCAGGCTCTGTTCTTTACTCTAAGGGCCAGTAGCGACCAGCCCTCCTCCCAGGCTAACCCTCTCATTTTCCTTCCAGACTGATCTGCCAGGGCAGCCTGCAGAAATATGCTAGGACTCTAAAAAGAAAAATACAGCCAAAGTGTTCAGTACTCAAAAAAATACTAAAAAAAATATGCACGTGTGATCACAATGCAAGTGGCTTTACCCGTGCATGACTGTGCTTGGAACAAATGACTAAACTTCTCTCGCCCTAATCTGGTGATCATCAAACCAAAATACATTTATTGGCTGTGTGCAGACAGGAGTTGAACTTGCAGTTAAGCTTTTGCCTGTAAATTTATAAGGTCAGTGAAGTTGCAGATGTGTAACTGTGAACAGAATTTACTTCAGAATATTCTGCCTGCTACCATATTTTAAACACCCTTACTGATTTGTGATCCACTGTTTGCTCGATACAGAAGCATCCTTATCTGCCTGGTCCCAGTCTCCAATTATGCCTGTGTAAAATTCAGTGTTCCCTTCAGGTGAACCTCATCTGCATGATTAGCATCCAGAAACCCCCTCCCTTCATTTAAGCAAAATTAACCAAATCCCCTTGATTCATCTTATTTATTTTCCACCCCCCTCTCCCTGGCCCACAGAAAGCCCCCAGGCAGCCACAGAAAGTTGTTCTTACCTCCACTCTGCCGGAAGGCACCGGATCCAGCAATTGTGATGAGCCAGGAGAAAGAAGAAATGGAAAAGACATCAGTGACACTTCATTGCCCCCTCTGAGATGTGGGAGTTAAGATTTCCATGCTAGGAAATCTGGCTGAGACCTGTAAGCGGTCTGAAAAGGATGCAGCTCGATTTTGTCATAATTTTGCACCTTCTTGTGGGGAAAAAGAGTTCAGCAGCACTGGACACCATACATGGAGATCGAGAGAGGAGGCAAAAGTGGATTGTTGACTGCAATTCTTGCAGAGGTAGACTGTTGCACCCTAAACCCACATCTTTACCCTTATCCTTTGTGTTCTACATGACTGGCAAATAGCATCCTCTGTTTAAGCCACCCATGCACCTATTCCTGCGGGCAGCAGCTGTAACAGGTAGCAGAAACCAGGGAGCAGCACAGACACAATGCTGTGCCCCCCAATTGCAGTGCTGCAGGGAGCTGGGCTACACTGGCACGGGGAGGAGGTACTGAGCATCAGCCAAGGACAGAGACATCTCTGCCATGGGACCTTTGGGACCTGGGACAAGGTCTGGGAGGCTCTCCCTTCTTGCTGAGCACAGAAGCCTGGAGGAGGGTTCTTCTACCAGCCTAAACTGGTTCTCCCTACTGTATTTGCCACTCTGCTTTGTGGGGCAGAGCCTTACCTGGGCTAGAAGCAGAAGTGGGCCTGTGAAATACTGGTACCAAGTGTTGACTTTCATAAGGGGCAGAGCTTGCTGCTAGGTCTCAATGCCCAGTGTAAGAAAGGACATGGTGATTTTCTCAATGGAGCAGAAGCTAAGGCACAGAAGAGAGGAGCAGATGCATGCCTGGTTAACAGCCAGATCAGGGCTACCATCCTGTGTCTGGAGTACTGGGTGCTTCCTCTCTCCTCTAACTAAGCCGCCCTGCCTGTTCCAAGAGGGAAGGCACAAGCTGCCACCTTTCTCTTGGTGTGATAAATGTGGTCAACTAATGCAGACCATTGGTATTTCTCCTCTTTGGATCTCCCTTTCCCCATTTGGGAGTTGTCCCTGGGAGCAGAGGTTATCCCAGGCAGGGTGCTGCTCTGGCAGCAACCTCCTTGCTTTCTGGATGCAACCCCCTGAGAACCCAAAGTGCTCACGAAAGCTATTTTCACCTTGCTGTTAGGTGATACCAATGCTGGGTCGTGGCCATGACTTCCTTCGCATGGATGAACTTACCAAGTGTGCTTCTGGGACACAAAGTACAAGACAGCATCAAACATTCAGGAAATGACAGCTGTGCCAGTCTCCAAAGTGTAAGAATATATGAGGAAATAGCCTGGCGGGGGATCCACTTGTACTCAAATTTAACCCCCTGCTCACTACCGGCTCTCCAAGGCTTCCCCTCCTCCTCCAAAGTACTTCACCTCCCTTTCCTCTCCCCTGGCAGGGTAGTTAGGACTGCAATTGCAAGGGTAAAAAATTAACAACCCCTTCTTTCCCCGCATACCTGAAACACTGATGGTTGCTGCAGCCTTTGCGGCTCCAAAAGCTTTGCTGTGTTTGTTGGTGGCAAGGCAAGTGAACAGGCCAGGTCGGGTGACATACACCTGCAGTCTGGAGTCAACCACTCTGTCCTTGACACTTTCTGCTATGGACCCTGCAGCAACCTAAGAGAGTGAAAAGCCCAGTGCAGTGGTGTTTCCAACAAAGTCAAACAAACTTGACAAAGAAAAACAAAGAAAAACCTAAGTGACCTAGTCCCAAACATTTAAATTGCCAGAGAAAGATGTAGCAAGAAGATAAAAGTGGCAGAGAGCTAAAGCTGCTGGCATTATTTTGGTGCTTCCATAGCAGCTGACTTCCAGACAAAAGCAAATGTTAAAGGCCTCTCCTATTTCATACTTCATGAATACTTTTGCAATTAATTTTCAGTTCCAGAGCGCTGTAATCTGTTTTGCTCATGTAATTGAGTTGGCTAATTGCTCCAGAACTTCTTCATGCCTTAGCAAGGGAGGTCACAAGGTGACTTTGTGCAGCATGGCTATACAGAGTGGTAAAAGAAAATAGTTTGGAAGTTTTTGTTTCTGGATTAATGTAACCACTACCACACTTCCAAAGCAGTTGTGAGCAAAGCAAGTGCTCTGGCTCCAACGCTTTGGCAGATATATGTTAGTTTTTCTTATCTCACACCTCAAAATATGGAAGGGTGGAGGATGTGCTGATTTTGGCCAGCTCTTTTCCCAGGTCAGAAATTCCCAGGTAGATGAGCCTGGAGCATGCTGATTTTGGTCAGCTGGGCTTGATTTTGTCCTCAAGTCTCTCCTGCACATATGGCATTCAATAAAGTAGGAGGACATGGTACACCAAGACTCTACCTTGAAAAGGCAGTAGGAAGGAGCAGCATTGCCTGCTCTGCCGTTCATACTGATAGGAGGCATCTTCTTTCATACTGATAGGAAGTGTACTTCAAGCATGATGCGGTTCCCCATGGATCCTACTGATGCAACCTGGCCCCAAGGATAGTGAGAACTGTCTCCCTGGATCCATCCCAGCAAAGCACTCTACCTACACATCTAGCTGAGATGTTAGAGAGATCAACTTGAACTCCTTGGAAGTTAATATTTTAATGAGATCTGTCCTTGCTCTGATAGGTATTAACAGTGATAACTGGAAAAGCAAAAAGGGGTGCATCAGCATTTTATCACGTCTTCAGTAAGCAGACTGGTTTCTCTCTGAAAAGAAAATGCTGAAAATAATATATTTCTTTTGCCTTACTCAAGCTCAACTTGGAGTTGTGGTGAGGGAATGCGCATGGGAGGAAGACACTAAATAACCAAACCAACCCAGTTATTGTGAGTATTGCATCAGGCATGGGCCACTGTGTGAATGCAGAGACCAGGGATATTTTTTGGCCTTAAGCATGAAGATGGATGGGAGCTCAGTATGGATCAGATTGATGGGAGCTCTGGAAATATTTTTTCACAAGTTTCTCTTTTGTTACAGTGCTGGTCAGATGGGTTTTTTTAGATTTTTTTTTTTCTCCCCAGAAACCACTCAGCGCTAAGACATTGCTGGGACCTTCCTGGTGGAAAGGAGGCATTTCTTTACAGTCTGCCCCTGCACCCCAGCATCCACCCAGGAGAGGATGGCTGCTTGCCCTGGGCCCCTTGTGCTGCTCCTCAGGCCTCGGGGATACCCTGTCCTGTTAGCTCCCTCCCACCAGCACTGGACTGTGCCTGGTGAGCATAGAAAGCCAGGAGTGCTCCTCCTGGCTTGGGCCATGGGAGGAAAAGGGCACTCAGGTAGCTGCAAGCAGTATGAGCAGTACATGTGGTCACATGCACCATGGAAAATCACAGGTGAAAGTGCCAGGTAGTTATGCCTAGGTCTTCCACACCAATCATCTGTTTCCTCTGCTGGGGACCTCAAGCCATTCCCTTGTGTTAATTGATTCCCTTACTTTTTCAGATACATTCCCTGACATTTTGTTTCCAGCAGGTATATTTTGGCCTTTAAAATGCCATGTCAGCTGCCACCAAAGTAGAGACCTCTTCACATCTTCACACCTTCACACCTGGCTCACTTATTTTTTCAGTGAGGAAAACGACAGTGTAAGGTCCATGATTCCCCATGGTGCACAGCATGAGGAAAAGGAGTTCTCTTTCTGTTTAGGTAGGCAAAGCTGCTGCACAGAGGAGCTTCCATCCTTCCTTTCAAAGGCAGCTCAATAACCTCTGTAGATTCCCACTCTTTGAACCTCAGGACAATTAAAGGTTGGCATTCAGAGACTCTAATGCCGCAAGCACGTTGCATCTTCAAATGACTCACTGTTGCTTGCTCGTGAGCCAGCCCTCAAACACAAGCACTCCAGTCCACCCGTTTCCTGGTCTGACTTTCCCAGAGACTCGGATCTCATTAACATCTCCTTGCCATACTTAAAATGACAAGTCCAAAGCACTACCCTCCTAGGACTGGGCTTTGCCTTGGAGACAGGGATGGGGGAATGGGGCAGAGCAGATCTGACTAGCCAGGCAGTGACCCGGGCAGGGGCTGGGCATCATCTCACACACAGCTCTCTGCAGGACCAACGCACCAGTGTGAAATTAGCAGAGCATGGGTCTGTGCTACAGAAATGCTCTGCCCTTCCCAGGGACCCCAGACCACTACAAAAGGTTTCTTTCCCAATGGGGAAGAAGTATTGAATGAACACCTGCAGTTGTCTCAAAATAATTATGACAAGAAACTGACGAGGACCCATGGGGCTCTGCAGAGGCTGATCTGCTGTTCTTTGCTGTTCTCCCTAGAAAATTTGGGGAATATAGAAAATAAACCCTAATCATACTGGAGGACACAATAAGGTTTAGAGGAGATAAGGAAGGCGAGACAGTCTCCAGAGTAGCCCAGGCTCCTTAATAATGTATTTTAAGACATGGAAAGAGGGATACAGACCGGGATGGGGGCAGCGTCCTGAAATAAGGAACTTTCAGCAAGACAATTTATTGGTCCTGTTGGACAAGCAATTCCACAGAAATGGGCATTGCCACCCCATTCCTGTCCCTTCTGTGGACAGGACTTGGGATTGACAGAGGATCAGTGAGAAAGAGCAGAGGCAAATTGCCAGACTGCATGTAGTGGCTGCTCCACCTGCCTCCACAGCATCACGCGTGGGGGCCACATCCTCAAAAAAACTGTTGAAAGACCACAGATTGTATAAAACATGTCTTTCAGAACTGTGTTAAGACTGGTGGAAACTCATGGCAGGCTCAGGCTGTGACTGCTCACTCCCAGGGAGGCAATCTACATCGGGTGTCAGGCGTCTCTTCAGTTCAGCTGAAGGGAAGGCATTGCAATAGCCTACACATGGACATGAAAGCCAGACAAATTCAAAGCAGGCACCTATTTTAAATGGTCAGGATAATCAGACCATGGAACAATTTCCTGTGAGACACGGTGGATTTGCATCTCTTGGTGCCTGCTGCTAAAGATGGTGTGCATTTCTTGAGGATGTGCTTCTAGCCAGGAATAAATTGGTGACATACTTCAGTATGTCACGTAGGTCAGTCTAGAAAATTTCAGATCTGTTCATCTGCAAATATGCTGAGTATATTTGCTGTCCCACAAGTATTTTGCCTCAAAACAGTTTGCTCTACCTAGCAATTTTAACAAATAAGGGATTTTGCAACATTATTGTTATCACGTTAGGAAAATGGAGAGGAAAGGTGGCTGCAGAAATACTTAAGCCCATGATGAAGTTGTAGAAAACCTGGCTCAGAGGAAGGTTTTGAGCATCCAAAGCATCCTTCATCTCAGGCTTTCCAGACCCTAACAAATTAACCAATTCAACATCCTGGAGAAGCAGGAGAATGTTTTGCAGAGGAGAAAATTGCAGCAGGGAGGCAAGAGGAGCTCAACCTGATTGCACAGTGAGGTGATAAGTAAGGCAGGAATACAAACCTCAGGTGCTGGCTCCCAGCCCTGCATTTTAATCCCTGGGCTGTGCTTCTGGATGCTAACAACCCTCCAGGGCCATAATATTGAAAAAAAAAAGTAACTTACAGCTTTCCCATTTTCCAGCCAGGTAATGGTGGGAACTGGAAGGCCAGTTGCTGTGCACCGCAACGTCACCACCGACCCAAAGGTGATATTTTGGGATTCAGGAGCCTTCAGGATTCTGGCAAAAACTGCAGAAGACAAAGATTCTGGTTGAACAGCAATGTAAAGCTGAGGCTGTGCTGGTGTGGGGATGCTTCCTCCCTGGCAGGTCTTGAAATAAGCCACAGCCCCACGAACAAAAGCGGAGCATAGCATGGGATTCCCAGTGAGTGACAGTCTTGGGACAGGGACAAGGAGGAGAAAGGGATGGGTGCAGTTATGTTCTGCACCTTACAGACCAAAATTTTACCTCTGGAAATTTCTATGTTGTCTGAGTTCGACACCTCAGAGGAGGTAACGTGCAAAAAACCAAGGGCAAACTCATTGGTAGCATGCAGATGGGACAGTTTACAGCAAATATACAGCAAGTGACTGTGCTGTCCTGCAAAAGGTGACCTCATGAGAAACTTGTTCAAAACCATCAAGGTAGACCACCAGCATGGTCATATATTATAAAAGCTAAGGGTCAGATAAGATCCTCAGTGTGATCCTAGTGATCAGGACTTACCAGGGAGAGGCGCAAAACCCAGCATTTTCCATGCCACCTGCCCTAAGGGAAAAGAATCTAAAATCAAGTTATGGAGGAATGGCTAGCAAAGACTTTGGGAAGCTGAGATTGCAGTGTAAAATTAGGTTTTTAAAATGACTTCTCAACTCTACTGCTCTTGCTTCCTTTGTGGCAATGTGGTTACTGGGCAGTTTGAGATAAACAAGATAAGCACCTCCCTACCCTGAGAAATTATTTCCTTTTTTTTTTGGTGAAAAGAACTGAATTATTTTGGCTGAAAATTTATTTCGATCCAGAAACACAACTCTGATAGTCTTCACAAGCTGTATGTCAGCTGCTGTACTTGGACTACATAGAGGAAAGCAGAGACGAGAGACATTTCCCATGTGGAACATTTGAGTTTTCACCCAAAATTTTTAATGGAGATGCCTGAATGTCTGTGTAGAAGCAGGCTGAATAGTTCTGTGCCATTTCTTACTCCAATTTCTCATGCTTAGTGAGTAATGCTCTGTCTCTACTTTCTGGGCTGCACAGCAATGACTAAAAGTCCCCATTAGAATTTTAATGAGCAGAGGAGTTTCTCTTAGAGTTCTCAGACAAGCCTGATATCTTGTTTGCCACTTTTGCTGTCTGTGTGGTTCCCCTTACCCTTATCTGTTCATGTCACAATATTCTGAGTCTCTGTTTGCCTGATGTACCCGTGGGCACTGGGTGCTGGTTACTCCCAGTTAGAGACCTCCAATGCAGAGCAAGTAGGAGACCAATGAGAGTCCCTTCAGAAACTGAAGATCTGTCCCCACCATATGGGATGGGAAGGCTTCATCTGAAAGTTTCAGTTGGAACAAAAAAAAATATATGCTTTCCACATACTCCTTCCACCCAGTCTTAGCCAGGGAAGGGGCTGAGATTTGTATTAACAAAGAGCCTAAAACCAGCTTTTGCTTACGGACAGGCAATGCTAGGAGTACATTTCAGCCTAGAAACTTTTAGTTTTGGGAGGACAGCCACTCAATAGGCTTCTGGGCATGGATTTTCAGTAAGATTAAATTTAATGTCAGTGAAATGAAAAGGGTGGAAAGATATGTGTTACATTCAGCTTCTGAATTCCTCTACTGTATCTGAGCAGTCCCTCACTGTCAATGCTCTGTGCCACTTGCTTAATATCGAAGCAGAGCAGCGCTGGGGCTGCTGCATCCCCTCTGTGCCTCAGCAAAGCAGAGGTAGGGAGCTCCACTGCTAACGAGGAAAGCTGCAGTCTCTGGCCAGGGACTTTCCTGACGAATAATAAGTGAAATGAAACCTTTGCCTGAAGTTTCACTCCAGGCCATTAACACCAGATGGTTATGAATTCAGCCTTGAGCGCCCCGGGCCAAGCTCATAATTACTTTTATACTTCGTTCAGAGAAATACTAAACTTTTTGGGCCTGTCCCCTGGCAGCAGTTACGTGCACATGGCTCCTGCTGAAGCCAGCACGTTAGCTCCCACAGCCAGAATACAGCCCTTAGTGCTTTTCTCATGCTGCTCTTGGTTTCTCAGTGTGCTGCTGGGACCCTGCCCGCCTGATGACTCTGCTGCTCGCATCCTGCCCAGCTTAATTAATATCAAAGTGACGAATTAACAGCACCCTGTTAGCCAGCACCAGACACAGGCACTTATGCCCTCTTCTGTACTGGCTGCTCTCCCCAAATCTGCGAGGATCTTTCAGCCAGGAGAAAAAAAGGCATGCTTTGAAAATGAGGGAGCAGGGCAGGGAGCAAAGCCACAGTGAGCATGGTGGCTCATCCAGCTCATGGGCTGTGCTTGTGGGGTGCCAGAAAGCTGCACCCCGCTCCCTGGGGTCCCTCTGCCAGCACTGACCACAGCACTTGCTCTAGTAGCCCAGCACACTGCTAGTGTGAGTGCCCATCCACCCGCACAGGGAAGGCAAAGGGGTGAGGCCATTCAAGACTAGAACACCAAATACAGGGGTAAAATATCCAGCCACAGTGGCTAAGCATTCGAGTGTTTCTTGTGGGAAGTCCTGCAGGGGTATTATCAAGCACAGGGAGGGATGGTTCAATGAAAGTGGGCCTGTAGGGAAATAAGCTGATTTCCAAAGTGTGGAAGAATGGAAGGTCCTGCTGCGCCCAGTGCCGCTGTGTGCATTTCCAGGACTTTCAAAATTGAAACTACAGTTTTAATACTTTAACATTTCAAGTAGTTATATTGGCATGCTCTAGATGCTGTGAATGGGATGACCTGGGAGGATTTATGTTATTTTTATTTTTAAGTGAGAAATTCCCTGGGACGAGGGCTGGACTCTCCTGGTCCCAACAGGCTTTGGAGCACTGATAACTGGCACACCCAAGGACACATTTTCCAAAGGGCTCTCCATCACTTTGGGAAACAGCATTAAAAAACATAGCATCAGCTATTTCTCAGCCCCATCATCTATGGGTAGATGACACACTTGGGTGCTGTTGGAGAGCCAGGACGGGTTGTGTGAGAGCAGCCAGTGTCACCTTCCACCAGTGCAAAGCAGGGCAAGACCACCAGGATGAGCTCAAAGTCCATTTTGGGAACCTCATCAGCAAGGAAATCTGGCCTGTAACTAAATGGAGAAACACAGCCCCCAGAACTATGACTTTTTTTTCCCCCACCATATTACACAAAGAAAGGAAAGAGGCAAAGGCAAGGAAGAAATGTCTACCCTGATGATGCCAACCTAAGCAACTGGTGGGGAGAGGAGGGTGAAAGTCAGGAAGAGGAAGGAACAGGAAATGGCAATAAATGTCTGTAAAATTCACATTATTTGGTGGGCTCAGGACATGGTTTTGTTTTCATTTTGCCTCAGAAAATTCCCAACAATCAGGCAACTTTTAACACCTCCGTTATTTACTCTCCTTTTCCAGATCCTCCCAAGAGTGGATTTTGACAATACTTTGCCTGTTTAGCTACATCACCACAAGATTAACAACATTCATGTCAAGACCCCCCAGGCTCTCAGCACAGGACTTACCCAAAGGCAAGCCAAAAAAACATTTTGGAAGGCTGGCAAAAAGGGCTTCATTTATTTCTTTATTTAAGTGGAAAATAAAACAGAGGAGCTGGAAATGAAATCCGGCCAGCTAAAAGCCAAGCCAGCACGTTAACTTTCACTCCCAAGCCCCCTAATAAATGTCCTTTCTTTTACAGCCCTGCTAAATGATGTGCTGTGCACTGCAGGGCTTGCTAGGAGGTATCTGCACCGTGGCCAGCTGCTCTCGTTTCTGAGAATTAGGTAACATCATCCTGTCTAAACAGTAGGGCTTTAATTCAGTCACGAAATTTTTATACTATAAAAAGATTAAAGCAGGGTCCCCCCCGAGGCCCCCTGTTTGAATGGCTAACTCTTTCCAGGTGACTTTGTTTTCCCGTCGCCTTCAACTGAGCTGTGTTTCATTTCCAGGGTTTGGGGCCCAATCCTGCACTCCTGGCAGATGCCAGCCCCTGGCCAGGTAAGGCCTGTTTTTTTGTTAAATCAGGCAGGATTGGGCCACTCACATCCAGGCTGGGTGGCCCGGGGCAACGCTGCTGCTTTCAGTAAAGGACAAAGCTACTCCCAGAGCTCACAGGAAACCCTCATGTGCACAGCCTCGCTGCATGAGGACGCCTGTTTTAGTCAGGATTTCATAAGTCTTCACGCCAACCTTGATGCACCAGGCCCAGTCAAGCACTGGGTCTGGGGTGGTTTTTTTTTCTCCAAAGCTTCAATTGTCTTTGCTGAACCTCAGTTTCAGAGAACACGAGCAACACTTGCCAATGTACGTGGCTTAACCCAGCCTGTCAACATCCACATGTATTCACATCCAAAAGCTGGTTGCTAGTCCTGGCATATTGTAAAGAATACCTGATAGTCCAAACCGAGATAAGGCCACCCAGCTAAACCTGTGTTAGCAATCACCTGGTGACAGTGGGTGCACGCTCCCTTCCCACCGCAGACTGAGCCTGGTCTAACACATGAGGAAGATCTGGTGTGTCCACGCTGCCAGATCTGGTATCGCAGCCTGCTCCACTTTCCCTGATTATTTTGCTTTTTATCATGAAAAATGGCCTTTGGGGTGGTTAGGGCCAGGTCTTACACTGAAAATGTTTTCCAGCTAAGCTGTAAATCACAGTGGGTAAAGGCAGCTCCTATGTGCAAGGGACATTTTCCTCTTGTACAGCTGGTGTTGTGTTGAGAACCAATGTGTCTGCATTGCTGGAACAACTGGTATGACGTACATCGCCTCGGAAACTTTCCTGATGTAAATACCCTGGAAAAGCCTTTGTACCCCATGCTATTCGTGTATAAGCATTTAGGAGCTAAACTGCAAGCATTTTTTTGTTTGCATTTAACGATGTTTCCGTAGCTCTTTCGTACCTGAAGCGTGACAGATTGAAATGACTCCTTCTCTACAGAAGAGTTCTCTGGGCTTGGACTTTGCTTACTAATCCGTAAAAAATCATTTATGCTTGCCACCTATATGCTCTGAAGAACCATAAACTTGTGCGAATGCATT